CACACGGAAGTCTAGATTTTTCGAGCTGTCTGTGGAAAAGAGAAAGTGACGAACTTTAGAGACCAATTATAGAAACCTGAAGCAAGCCGAGATGCTGGGTTCCCATACAGTTACCAAAAAAAGAGTATTAAATTTAAAAATGAGCTTTAGGAGGGTGGTACTTCCGTTACACGTGAAGCATGAAACAGCACAAAATTTCCAACAGGCACTTCTTAGATGACATGGGGAAGTTGGCCAAGGACTGACTTTCGGGTTCAGTTACTGGTTTCAACTGTTGAAGCAATCATCAAATCTAAGACAACCTGCGTAAATAAGAGGTCACTGAGCAAGTTGCTAAATGCAGCAGTACTTGTCAGTTACCAAGCCTATCCGCCTCTGGAACTTGCTGTGCTGTTTCTGTGCTAATCTGGGGAAAACCAAGGTGCAGGAAGCCTCTTTCAGTCATTGCCATCGTTGAACAAGGTTAAAGCTGCAATTGGGACACAAAATTGACAGGGCTACCTGAGATATCCATTTCTCTTCCTCCTCCTTAAAGAAAGTGTATAAGAAATGGTTTATTACCCGTGCCAGTCTTGCCCTACATGTTAGAATTTCTCGTCAGCTCTCATCTCTAGTTCAGATGTGGCTTTCTGATGGGTAACCAGTAAAACCAATTGCCGTCAAATTGACTCTGACTCATGGTGACCCCGTATGTGTCAGAGTAGAACAGTGCTCCCTAGGGTTTTCAATGACTGATTTTTCAGAAAATCACTGAGTACCTAAAAATAGATCTCCAGACCTTTCTTACCAGATGCTTCTGGGTAAACTGGAACCTCCAACCTTTTGGTTAGCAGCAGAGCATGTTAATCTTTTACACTACCCATAGATTCTTCTGATCTGTAAGGCTCTGGCTAAGTCAGAGGGATTTGAATGGAAAGATGACCATAGAGACTCACACGCAACTGCTTAGGGAAAGGGAGAGTGTTGAGCAAATTAAAAGTGAGAAATTTCAGTGATGGTAAGTAATGAGAGACACATAAAAAAGTGATCATTTGGATGTCAGTAGATGGAAAATGCGTGAGTGAAGCAAAAAAAGAAACAAAACTGGGCTGTAGAAGGAAGTCCATCTAGGACAGTGGTTTTTTAATCTATTTAAAGACATTGTGGTTTTGTAAGAGGTTACTGGCAGCTTTGTAAATTGCAAAAATAGGAGTAGCAAAGTGAAGAGTCACAGAACTGCTGTGTACAAAAGAGTGCAATTTTCTTTATTTCTTTATCGTTAAGGTCAACTTAGCCCGTGAATTCCCATTTCCACGTGGTGATAAAAAAAACAAAAAGCCAATTCAGAGTCGTTTAGTCTCCAGTGGTTCAAGACTCAGCCAGTTTGGGTAACAGCACAGTCTGTAATGAATTGTTTCCCCTCCAAATCCCTTCTTTTTCTTGGGGGGTAATCTGAGTTCTCGGGCTTGGGGGTGAAGGAAAGGGAGTTGCTAAGAGTTATCTGGAGAGTGAGTTCGGTCCACAGGTCATCCTCTGTTCTTACCAGCCTTAGCTGAGATGATGCTTGTCCCACCTTTCTCAAATGCAAAGCCTCTTCCAGGTCTTTGGCCCTCTTGGCCTCTTGGCAGCCCCCTTCCTAGGCTTGGCCTCTTGGCAGCCCTCTTCCTAGGCTTGGGGACTCTTAGCTGCTTTCTCTGAACACTCTGGAAGGTGCCAGACTCGCGAGGCAGCCTGTCCTCAGGCCCAGTACTTAGGTAGCTCTGCTGCGAGGGCTGATCCTTGGCTTGGGCCATGCTGAACATGGGGCTCTGCAATGAGGCTGGTGGTGTGCAAGGTTACCCCCTGGGAAGCCAAGCTGTGCTCCCCCTCTTCCAGGATCCCCATCCCTCTCCGTCACCAGAGAGGTGGTGGTGGTGGAGAGTCAGGGCAGTTGGCCACCTCTCAAAGACCTTCCTGCCTGCTGGTCACCAATGCTCCTTTTGGGTAGGAACACATAGTCTTACCTTTACCATTCATTCTTCTGTTCTCAATGGTTTATTACATAAATTCTGTGTTTGAAGTTCTCCAACACTTAGGCCTTTGGAATTCAAAGAAACAAACACACAAAAATACTTGCTCTTTCAAGTGTTCCAGCCTTGTGTTAATGTTCACAATGGACAATACTAAAAATGTTGCCTTGCCATATAGATCACAGGAAAGGTTTTATTTTTCAGGCCATCGGATCAGGTACTGATCCCCTGGCTTTGTTTCCTGTGCATTATTTGATATGCCGCCCCCAAATAAATCTTTAGCAAAAATGTCCTGTGACCTGAACAGCTTGAAGGATGGGGATGGACTGACAACCCTCAGGGAATGAAGCTCCTCTTAGTGAAGGTGACCTGGGGGTGGTAGACTGTGAATCTCCCAAATGATAAGCATTTCCCAAGAGGGAGGTGTCCAGAGGGTATGGGTGTTATTTCTGTTTCTTGTAAGTTTTTTTCAAAGAAGTGAGTGACTGGATTGCATCATGTTCATTAAGCAGTGTGTTTCACACTGAAGCATGTAGACCAGGTTCAGGGCATTTGTGCTGGTGCTGGGACCAGAGCAAAGAGTGATACCAGGGAGACAGTCTCCGCTGTATGGGGGCTTCCAACCCAGGAGGTGAAGTGAGGCAGGTGGCACACAAATGACCCAAGGAAAGAAAACAAAGAGAGAGTTAAGGAAAGTGGTCAGCCTGGGCTGAGAAGGGAGGAGGCAACTGCAAGGTCCCAGACAGAACAATGGCGAGAAGGGAGGCCTCCCAATCCTTCTCCTATAATCGGTGGATGTTTGAGAGTCCTACCTGGCTTTATGGGCCTGTGTGGATAGCAGGCCAGGTGGAGTTGGGTGAGCGGGAGAGGTCAAAAAATTTTTTTTTTTAAAAAGGAGAGTGTAATTTTTATTTCTACATTGCTGCACAGATTAATTTCACTTTCTACTTTTAGAGTGCCTAAAAATCTTCATTACATAAATGGCAAGACCTGTTTAGGTTTGCCAATACCTGGCTTGTCTAAGCTAGTTCTAGGTCCTGGGTGAATGGTTTGTGCTTGCTACTACCCGAAAGGCTGGCAGTTCAAATCCACACAATGACACCAAAGAAGAAATGCCTGACAATCTGCTTCCATCAAGATTGCAGTCAAGAAAACCCTATGAAGCTGTTCTACTGTGTAACACATGAGCTTGCCATGAGTTGGAATCAACTTGATGGCAATGGGCTTGGATTTTTTGTTTGTTTGTTTGTTTTTTGGGTCAAGTGGGGCTCAGCTTTTCACCGACTGCCACCTGGACACACCTGCAGAGTTAGCCCTTCAGGTGGAGGACTCAGAGTAACAGCATCGTTCTGGAAATCTGGAGGAAGAGTTTTCACAACTTTGACTGCACACTGGGATCATCTGGGAGCTCAGTGTTGGGCCCCATCCCCAGAGATTCTGAGGCGATCCATCTGGGGTGTGATTCAGACAACACAGGAGTTCGAATCTCCTCCAGTGATGGTGATGTGTAGCAGGGTGGTGTGAACCACTGCTCTGTAAGGGATACTAAGAGATGAGGACAAGTCATGAGCTATCATAATCCCATGTTACTGGCCCCGGATTTCAGCCTGCTCCCCCTGAGAAAGAGGATCCACACACCCTTCTGCAACCACATAAGACAGAGAAACGGCTGTTTCAATAAAGCTGAGAGATTGTCATCATGCCAGGCCACAAGGAGGCTTTTAGGACTGATGAGTTATTGTTGCTCATTCCTTTATGTTTTCTTCCATCCCAGAATTGTCTGCCACAGGCAGCTGAGGCCAGGGTTACCTCAGATCTTGAGAGTTTCTGAAGAGGCCTATCAAGGGATAGGTTTGCCTGCCCAGCCTGGGAGGGATGGAGGCAGGAGTCGGCTGGAAGGAAGGAAACAATCTTTTACTCAACATCTCCTTGGCAGCGGACACTTGACAGAGCAGCTCATTAAGTCCCCCAAACAAGCTGGAGGTCTGGTCACTTGCTGGAGGCCACACGGAGTGGAGTGGAAGAACAAGCTTCAAGCTCATGGTGGTCGGGCTAGGAGCCCAGGCGTTCCGTCCGTGACTTCGCCATTCATTGCGTTTCTCTGGAGGTGAATTATCATTTGCAAAGCGAAGCTCGTGGGAGCAGGTGAGTTTTCAACTGAAAAAACTACCCAGTCTGGCCAGACGTTTGCTATCAAGATTGGGAGGCTGGTGCCCATACCGCTTGTAAGGGGCATATAAGGGGCTTTTGAACCGGACACATAACAAAGATACAATAATACTTGTAGGTAACGCTAATGACTCGTCCAAGGTCGAAAAACCCGGCCCAGGGTGATCAGGATCCAGAGGCCATGCATGATTTCAACCACTAACTGCGCTCTCTTGCAAAAGATTCAGTGTTTCCTCGGGGCCAGAAAGCCCTGCGGCTCGTGAGCTCAAGTGGATGAACTCTTCCCCAGATGCCCTGCAGTTGGGGTGGTAGAGCCAAGTCGCTATCTCTCGGTAGGTTATCCGGACTAACCCGAGGAACCGCGCGGCGGTTTGGGGGCGCGGGCGCGCTCGGCCGCCGATCCCGGATCCCCCGCGCCCGGGCAGGAGACCCCGGCAGAGGCGCCAGGCGTGGGAGCCGGGGCGAGCGGCGTTCCCAGGGGGCTGTCCCGCCTCCTTAGAGTCGGCGCGCGCTCCCAGAAGTGGG